GGCTTCTTTCTTTCTTCGGCTGCTGCAAAGAGATTCGTATCGGTATTTTAACTACTTAAATACCAAAAAAAATGTGACTACAATTTTATATTATTCTATTTTTAAATAAAATAAATATAAATGAAATAAAATAAATAAATTTTAAATAAATAAATTATTAGAATATCTTATTATCAGATTATAATATCTCCAAATTATTAATACTACCGATGGAAAATTACAAATACACATCTACCATTTACCATTTACAAAACGCAAATTTATATAGGAGCTTCATTTACATCTCGTTTTGGCTGGAAATAACCGGCAGCGGTAATATGAAATTTCAAATACCAAATCTTAAGAGACTGCGTATAACGAATTCAAGTCGGTTTTATGAGTTATGAGCATGCCCTCTAAGCTCAGAGGCAACTGTACCTTGTGCAGTGTGATCGACGCCATTTTGGAGCCAACGGCACTTAATTCGTAGACTACGATGGCCGACAAACTTACATTCCATGCATATAAAGCACACACAGTCAAATACTCACTTATACACAGTCAAGTACCCATTTGTGCGGACGCTTTCCAACTTATTTTACATAATAACATAGGCAGTACCCACACGAACACGAATACATAAAAATACATACCACCACACTGACCAGTACTAATACCCTTATAAGCCTTTATTTGCGTGCTTTTGTTGGCTATAAAATTGTTTTTTCTTTATCATAATTAAATTCATGGTTCGTGTATCATCTTCAAAAAGAAAAAAAACCAAACCGAAAGAAACGCTCTCCTGATCTTTCTCCCTCTCTTTCGGCATTTAATTCGTGCGCCGCAAGGTGAGTTGAGCGGTACCAATAAACGTACATATGTACAGTCATATTTACCTCGATCATTTCTATTGTCCACACACGTTCGGTAGATAAGGAGAGCAACAGGGCGAAGAGAGAGAAGGAAAGTCGCGTGTGTGTAGGCAGCGTAAGATTGGATGGGGCTTAGATGAACGGACAGCTCCTAAATTACAGATGGTACTGCCCAGAAGATACATTTTATACCTTAAATCTTTAAGTTAATATCTCAGTCGGGATTTACTTGTTTATATTTTGACCCAATTAATTTGTAGCTTTAAGATATTGGTAATTTACTCCCTTTTTTTGAAGGATGATTAGATTTACAGTTTTATTTGTAAAAAAATAATTAGCCCAAATTTTTATTAAGCCGCATTTATTTATTTGTCTAACACCTCAATATAATCATAAGAGGTCTAGGCATAATGTAGTGAGCCTCATAGCTGTTGCAAGAAAATCTTCGAATTAAAAACAAAATATAAACTAGTCAACTCTATTGGTCTTTTTATATACATATTTACATTTCATAATTTCAGTTCTAAAAAAATAATTTTTACAATATTTCCAGAAATGGCAGATAATATTTGTTAAATAATGTGCATGTTATTTTTGAAGATTTAATTCTTAACAATTAATCTCTTATATGACACCATTGTTAAAAACGATTGACGATTAGTTTTCCAGAGTGCTTCACATACGGATACCACTCCACCTTCCAAGTTTTAGTTGTTGATTTTAATTATGCTGCCGTTGGCTCTACTAATTCCATCCAATCTAATGCCGTGGGGTAATCTCAAGCAAAACGAAAGCGCCACCCATCCAAAGATATCTCTTAGTCCCCCTCACACTCGCTTGCTCTGATGTTCGATGTTTTTCCCCACACGTACACGTACACGCATTTCTTTTGATAATTTCATAATCATGTTTCTATTTTTCACATTGATAACTCAGTTGGAGATCACCGGAACTGAGAGCTTTGTAGGATGGGGCTTCTTATGTGAGTACATGGCCCAATGCGAGTGTCAATAACTCATCGCTGACATCGAATGCTGGTCGCCAACGCAACTGCTCATCCCCCTTCACCAGAAAACTAGTGGAAAACCCGCTTGAAATTGCTGCACGAGCTGCAAGACAAATGAATTGTCATTTGGCTCGTGTGCAGCGCGGAGCTGAACAGATCGGTGTCTTTATCCAATCCCTGATTACCCAACTTAGATGACTCCATTAAAGGGAAAACAGAAAAATCCAGTGAAAAATTGTAAAACTAGACAGTCCTTCTCAATTATTGATCAGCCTTGTTTTTCTTAAAACTTACAAATTACATGCATCGATCTCAATGTTTTTCAGAAATTGATCTCTTGAATAACAGCATCATGAAAATGATTATCGTTTTTATTTTTGTATACATATAGGTAGATGACGTTTCTTTATTTTTTGCTGAATATTCCTATTTAATATTTTTACTATTTATTCCCGTTTGGTGGCCAAATAGACAACAATAAAAGTTAGCCTTTCAAACTAAATTAAAACAACTAGAAAATGAAAAGCGGACCAATCCAAGGCCCCGATGAAATAATATCAAAATCACACAAATGTCATAAACAGAATCCATTAAAAGCAACCTGAAAATACTGATTCTTTTCATTAAAAATAAACTCGAACCACCCACGAATTTAATTGTTGTTGTTCTTAGTAGTTTTATTTTTTCATAGCAATTTCTTTCGTCCATTGAAATGCGTACAAAAATCATTTAGACAGATCGTGGCATTAAAATATATGTACATGCATACATATAAGCACAGATATATCAAGCGCAAAACAACCGAATATTTTAATTAGAGTATAGATAAAAAATAACAACAACAATGGAAAAATTCAACAAATACAAATACGAGAAACGAAAAAGGGCGAGAGGGGGCGACAAGGGCGGAGGCAGCAACAAATATTAACAATAATTATACCCAAAATATCAAGACGCGACACCTATTCCATATAAATTTTAGCTTTCCACAATTTTTTTCGTTCACTCTCGATAAAAATAACATTCCACACGTACACATACAAGTAGGGGCGGAATAGATTTGGGAAGTGAATTTTGGACAGTACCTACACACCACCACCCAACCTCCCCCTTGGAAAGAGGCAGGGAGATGGGTCGAGAGGGGTGTGGCGGGGCCTGCGGGTAAAAATAAATACAAATGTCGCCGGCATCAATAAGATATAAATTAAAAGCGTACTACAATCCCAATGTTAATTAGAGAAGCACGAGGAACGGAGAGAATGTGGCGGTGGTGGGGCTAAAGATAAGGCTAAGGTGGAGAGAAGTGGAGCGAAGAATGAGAGAATCTCCCAGGTACACTGGAAAAAGTAGAGAGTTCGGCCTACCAAATTTTAATAATCAGTTTTACAAATAATTCACTCAATTTGATCTATTATTATAGCAAAACAACTGTGGATGAGCATATATCTTTTATATATTCATTATAGACGGACATAGATCCCTATTTATATTATCCTTTTTATATCATATTATTACTGTTTTACAATTTGCTCGTAATCTTCAATGGTTTTTAAAGTTTGATAATTTTCTTATCTTTAATAATAAATATTAATATTTAATAATTATTAAGGGGTTTCTTCTAGTGCAAGATCCTATATCCAATGGACCCATATCGGGGACTGGAACTTTTCTGCTCCCATCCTCCCTTCCAATTTCATACCTCGCTCCAGTGGAAGCGTTTGACATGCTGTCGTGTATCTATTAGATACATTAGCTACCGCATGCCGCCAACTTGCGCTCCCTTTTGGGGCCTATAGCTGCATCTACAGATCGCTGCATCTATGGATCGTTGCGTTGCTGCGACAATTTCGATGTTCTCGCATTTGGAGTGTTTTTACACGTAAATTTATTTTGTTTTTGTCGACTTTAATAAAGTTGCATCTGCCGTGGGGTGCCACCTTATAGCTTTGGCGTCTTCCAAAGTGGGAGGGAAAACTTTATTTATTCCAGCCTCGGCAGCTTAATGACTTCCTGCAGGGGCGGCCACTATGAGAAATCGGAGGAAGGGGCAGATTATGGTGCGGTAGCGGTGTTATGTATATATATTCTGTAAGGAACTGTCTCAAATTTTAAAATTATGATTTCAGCATGTACAAGAGTATAAATACATGCATCCGAATTTAAATGTGGTTTTCATCCCACAGAAGTAAATTTCTATATACAATTTTAAACATTACTAATCTAAACCATTTTCCTAGTTAAATTACAAAAATGTGTATCCGCTTTTAGGAATTCAGCACAACAAATGAACGTTTTTCTTGGCTGCGTCACTTCAATTACAATTTCAAATGAGGGCAAATGATTTATTTAAATCCGTATGTCAACTAGTGGGCATTCCAATGACTGAAATAGTGTCAGCCAAACCCTTCAAAATAATTCTTTGGAAATTCACATTTAATTTATTTGTTCTCACTATACTTACAGTTATAAAATCAGTGACGGATCACGGATTTGCTTTCCAATTTAAGTTTTTGTAGCCTACCTTTATAATGGCACATTTCCTTGTACGTTTGATCCGAGTAAGGCGTATTTATCCCCCAAATCCAATTCCCAAATATTTAATTTGCTCAAAGTACAGTTTTGTATTACGTAAGATGTATTAATTGAATGGCTTATTTTAAACTCAAAACTTCCCAAAAACCAGGTCACACTTAAAATAACTTTTCTCTATTAAATACGATTTTATTAATGGTAACTATAATTTACCAGAGGGCGACCAGTTTCTCGCATTTAGCACCCCATGAATCAAAAACTCGGACTGCTCTCTTCTACCCAAAACTTTTGCCCAAGAAAGCGGGCAATTCTGCAATTCAATTGGTCGGCCGGCTATCTTTCTTTCTTCCCGGACTCTCGCAGTCTCAGGCTTCAACCTTGCCACTTCGCCTTAGAAAAGTAAACACAATCTGGCTTAGATAATAATGCTTGTGGGCCAGTTTGGGAAGGGGCTAGAAAAGACCGAAAAACCGCCGACGCATGCAACATGTTCGCCGTCGAACATCGAACTTCGAACGACCCGACAATCCGACGAATACGACGTATCCGACGGATTCGGATTTTACTTGCCGCTTACTGAAACAGGAATTCTTATTACGCGCAGTACAATTTCAGAAATCAGACGGGCAGCAAGTGTCGTGGTTCAAGTGCGGCTAATTTGGCTTATTTGTGATTTTCACACTGTTTTGTGGCTTAGTAAACTATCACGACAAGAGTTGAAAAGACTTTGAAATAAAAACAAGAACTATAAAATACAAATAGAAAACAAGAACTAATAAAAATACAAATAAATAAAAACAAGAAAAACTATAAATAAGGAACCCGAATAAGAACAAATAAACTCTGTGTTATTGGGTGTTTTTAAAAGAAATCCAAGAAATTCTAGTTTCTAGTGCAAAACTATAAAAACAAACTGCAACGGCAACGCGTCGGCAAATTGGCATAAATAAATAAAATCACTGTCGTTTTCCTGCTGCTGTTCTTTTTTTACAACCTGATTTTTATGAATGAATGCAGCTACAGCGAAAAAAAAACCGCAACAAAAGAGCGAGACAGAGCGAGTCGCGTGCACAGGAGCGAAATTGCAGAAGAAAAGGGGGGCGGGAAAAAAAGCGGACAGGTTGTCCCGTTCGATGGCCGCCCACCGCCCAACTTTGTTTTTGTTTTTCCGCTTTTCCTAGGCGACACACGCTCACGCTTGTCACTTTGTTGCTTTTGCTTTCGCCTGTCAGCGGCTGTCACCAGCACACACACACCAACGAACAGAGACAATCACACACACATGCAGCAATTGTTGTCGTTGCAAAATTAATAACGGAAGTTGTGCATTTTATTAATAAAAACGAAATTCGCACAGAACCAGATTCACAATCAGAATCAGAAAAAAAACCAGAACACGAAACTCGCTGCGAAATAAGAAAAAAACACAGAAACCGCAAGTGCAGCGCGACGGCTTCTTCTTCTCGTGGCGTTTTTCTTCTATTTCGTTTCGTTTGTTTTCCGCTTCTCGGAAAACCCTTGAAATCGCTCTCTGTTTTGCCTCCCATTCTCACCCATCTATGTTTTCTTATTGTATTGCAGTTGTGCAGTGTTGAAAAATCTAACTAAATTCAAAATCAGCTTAAAAGGAAAGTGTTTAAAGTTCCATCAATAAACCCATAAAACAAATTTATAAGGGGAAAGAAATCCTTCGAATAATAACCCTCAGTGTTTCAAAAGTGTTCAAATTTTACAATTCTTGCATCGCATCACCAAAATCAGCGACTGCTTTTCTGCATCCTCGTGAATTTCCTGGAAAATTTGGAGAAAAACTGTGCAAACGGTAAGTTTTAAGACAATCTTTAAATAATTCTTGTTTTGAACCTCTTGGGTTAGATATTCTTTTATGCCGTAAAAGGATTTCATTGTGCCCAGATACTCAAATATTTCAAGAGCGTTATCTTACATTTCAAGTGAATATCTTTTCCTTAAAATAACTTTAGGATTTTTTTGTGTCACTGCGTTTTTGTTTTAATCCAGTTGTTTCTTAAAAAAAACATTCATTTGGGTTTTTATCAAAAATTTAATTAGTTTAAAAAAAATGTTAATTTTCATTTAAATGTAAAATAACTTGACTAAATTAAATGATAATTTGAATGTAAGATATTAACTTGGGAAAAATAATTTTGACCTCACCCTGACATCAAAAGCTGAATTTTGTTATTTTATTTCAATGTTCCCAAATAAGATGTCAATAGTTTGTCTTTTAAGTGGTAACCAGTTCAAAAGTCATAAAAATTACAGTAAAATAGAACTTTCTCGCTTGTTTAGGACTTGTTTAACTTTTAAATGGCCATGCGATTCAGTCTTTGATTTTGTTGTACATAAATTGAATTAGGTTAACAAATTTTTATTGACCATGATCTTTATTTGCGATCTCTCTCAGTGATCGTAAACCGAAGTTAATGGCTTACAAAAACTGACTTACAAAAGGCGTTAACATTTGACTATCTTTAAACTAGCAAAACGAGTGTGAAACTTTAAAAAAATATATATATTTTTGGCTTAAAACGCTTTTATGATTGGTCTGCGGCCCTTGAAGACAGCCCCGACTAGTGTGTCCTCTTCCGATTTGATAAATGAATCTTTGGAGTTTTGGAAAACGTTTTCGGGGGAATTTCGTGCAGTAATTGCCAACTTATTCGAGGCAGTGGTGTGTGGTATGGCCAATAATGGTAATAGCAGCTAATGAACTGGGGTCTCTCGGCTGGATTTTTGGATTTGGCTTCGGAGTCGGGGGTCTCCGCCGCGTAAGTGTAGATTCCTCGCATCGGCAAGTGTTGTTTTTATTTTTTACCGGCGTTGAAAACAAACACAAATAGTAGATGTGGAAACCCGGGGATGCTGGGAAACAAAGGGGGAAACCCGAGTGCAGAGGAGGCGAACAATTAACGCGTCGCTGTAATTACAGCAAATGGTAAAAAATGTTTGGGAACAACTAACCAGAAAAAGACACAGAAAAGGTACGGCAAGAGGGAAGAATACAAAATATTAATAATCAATAGCCCGCTAAAAGGCATCGACGGAGTCGGTCGAGTTGGTCGCGATGGTTGAGGCAATTTTATCGGTCATTGAACGGCCGAGAAACCAAGAGACCAAGAAAGACTTACAAAGCGCCGAGCTGGGATTGGAAATTATGCCAAAAACTCGGATTTGCCGCAGTAAGAAGCGATCGGTTTTTGGTTAATTACCCGGACTAAGGCCCAGGCCAAATCTCCGTTAACCTCCGGGGAATACAACTTCGGAGCGGGTTGGTGGGGCCGAGCAGTTAATTACATAAAAACAAGTGATTTGCGTGTGCGCTGCCGCTGCTGCTGCTGCCCACCGGCATCGATTCCAGCTCAACGTTTCTTAGATTTTTTTCGTTGGGTAATTTTCAACTCGCCAACTTTCGGCCCGGCTAATTAGCGGAGAAAATCTTTGGCAGAAGCCGAATGCCCATTTGCTGGTTGAACTCTTGTGAGTCGGTAGAAGTGGTAATGTGTCCAAGAACAGGTGACCTTTGACCGCAGTTTAAGGCCCTAAAATATCATTACCTAATGTTTAGACCCATTGAAAATGGAAAAAAATCGTCTCACTCAGAGATTCTGAAAAATCCGATTTTGTGAATTAAATGGGAGTTTTTAAATATCCGTTTCAATTGACATCGAGGAGCACAATATCCTGAAAAATCGGATTATGCGAGTAATATAGGAACTTTTAAGTATTCAGACCAATTTACAAAAAAAAATTTTAAATTTAAAAAAATTTATATTAGATCTCATTTTATCAGTGAATTATTCAAAGGCCTCAATTAAAGTTGAAATAAAATATTTCAGAAAATGCATTTCTCCTACAAAAAAATGTCATTCGGTTTTTTTCAGTCCAACTTTATTTAAACAAAAAAAATTTAAAAATCCTATCGCCTCTATATCTAAAGAAAAGTGGGACAACCGTCACACTCTTTTCTGAAAAATCAATTCCGATTTTGTGAGGAAATTGGGAGCTTTTAAACATCCATACCAATTAAGATCAAGGATAACGTTTGGATTAAACATAAAAAGTGCTCACAGCTCAAAGTGCGATAGTTTTAAATGTGCGAAACGTAATGTCCCCTTTTTGTCCTTTTTTAAGATCTGTTGGTTTTTATAAACTAACGGCTTGGGATCTTCTTTACTTTTAAAGGGAATCTTATTAAATTTTGTCACACAGATTTCCTCATACTTTTAGCTTAAATTTTGTATTAAAGTGTAAAATAAAAAGTAAATTTGGCAGTCATCTTCTCTGTGAAAAATTCTGTTTCATTTCATTATGGGTCAAATCATTCCACCAACCACGTTCTCTTTTTCTTCTACTTAGCTTCCGAATGACCTTTGCTTGGCGCCGTCTTCTTCGCATCCTTTCATTCCATGCCCGCCCCACCCTCCATATAATTTATCATAAAAAATAAAAGTTTTTTGGCTTTTTACGAACCTTTTCATGGGGTTTCTGCCCCCCTGCGGTCAAAAAATTGGAAGGGAGCTGGACAATCGGCGCCGTGACTGCGTTCTAGATAAATAAGCATTCTTAATTATCCCTTTGCCTCGTTCTCTGGGGTGGCAAAAATGTTATAAACAATGGAAACCGCGCACTTAATGCGTTTTCTGTTTTCCACAACAGGGCAGAACCAAAAAAAAGAGCGGCAGCGGGCAAGTATTTTTCTTCATATTATTCATTATTTTGTGGCCAAAAAAGAAAATGTTTTTATTGCCTGCGAAAAAGGGTATAAAATGCCCCGTCGCCATTAGCCAAGGACCCGCAAACGGGACGACAACAATTCCAATCAAATGTGAAGGGGCACGAGTAAAAAAGGGAGATTTCAAAGTGGCCTTTTGGCCAGATATGCAGCCATGGGCGGGAAATGGGGGTGAGTGAGAGGCCGAGGGGCCGAAGAAATGCCGTCGGTAGATGAGATTTGGATTTCTGGCTCATGACAGGCCAGTGACTTTTCACTTTTTCGCATGTGAGCAAATGTGTAATTGAAGTTCCGCTCGAAAAGCGAGCCAAGAAACAAAGAAACGGGAGAAAGGACTCTAAGGACCTGGCCATTCGATTCAATTGTTGCCTTTCTCACTCGCCGACGGCGCCTTGGCCCAAAGTCGCGATTGCCACATGAGTTGGCACAAAATCGGAGACTCACAAAATCAGTAAATCGCTCACAAAGTGCACGGAAAGTTCAGCGAAAATGAAAATGATGTGGCACTTTTTCAATGCTACCTGCCATGTAAATAATCAAACAAAAAATCCTTCGAAAATATTATTGCAGGAGCCAGGGATTTAAGCGGAATATAGCTGCATCGATTTGAAAAAATATTCTCATCATAATATTTGCAGTTTTTCTTCGGGACCTCGTAAAGGCACCGATTGAGAACGTAAGCCAACGTAAACATTTACCTTTGGACGCTGCGTTACAGTGAGCTCCCGGTAAAAAGGCAGGCTGACCCATGAAATTAAAGAGAGAAGAGATTTTAGATTTTATTCTCCGCAAAGTGTTATTAAAGCGAAATGGTTTTAAATTACTTAACATTATTAATATTTTATTGAAAATAAATAAATATTTTTTAAACAATTTAGAAATTGCTGTAAGAATTTTAGTAAAAACTCTTTTTGGAACCATGATATTAACTAGTTATGTTTTTTTTAATTGGTCAAAAACATTTCAAATCTTAACTTTTAAACCTTTAGAATATACAAATATTTAAACCTCTGAAACACACCACCAAATTTCTAGAGATTTCTGTGGCACCATAGTATAATTTAAAAAGCTGAATCAAGGACTTATTAGCTCTTGCTTGATTTCCTAACGCCTTAAGGACTCGTAGCGTAAGAGAACGTAAGCTCGGGCCGTAACGAAAAGTACAATTGCAGTTTGAGTTATTTTTTGCCCTCTTGTTTCTGCCCAGCCCACGACCTAAAAAAACGATTTCTATATGTTGGCGACTATGGCTGTGTGCTGTCCGTGTGCTTAGTATTATCAAATGCAATTTTCTAACGCAGTCGCACTTTCAACGATGACAGCAGCAGCAGCAGCGACGTGGGCAGCGGCGTCGACTGCGACTGAGGCCCCCAAAAGCAGCAACAAAGGCCCCCCAACAATTGCAGTTTTAAGTGAAAATAAAATGCATGACAACAGCAGTGGAAAAGCAGCGGCAACAACAATGCATGCCTAAAACCTAATAAAAATTCAAATTAACATTTGAAAGAGCGAGCTGGCAAATAGAGCGGTCGAGCGATAGAGATAGCGATAGAGAGAGCTGCAGCAAGTGAAAGAGATGGAAAAGAAAAAGAGAGCGCGAGCGAGCGAGATAGAGAAAGAGACAGGCGACGCAACCGAAAAAGCTTATGAAATTCTATTAATTTTTGAACAAAACGGAATGTAATCCCTGCGAATGACCCATCGCCCTGCCACTCCCACATTTCTAATCGCCCATCGACCGACCGATTGCAACCCGAAACTTTCCGATTCCGATGATGCCAAAATTGTTTGTTGTTTTTCCCCATTTTGTTGCACTTTGTTTTTGTGCTTCTTTCTCTCGGTGTCTGTTGTGCGCTTCTGCTGTTGTTTTTGTTGTTTTGGTTGTGCAGATTGCAGACACTCGCATAATAATGCAATTTGCCATCTGCCATGGAACGACGTTCCGTCCGATTCGAATATTCGACGTCACGCGCCAAAAAGACTGCGACGTTGTTGTTGTTGTTGTTGTCGATGTCTGGCCTCTGGATGTCTGTTTGTCTGTCCCACTCCCCCTTTGGATCCCGAACCCT